CTATTGGAGGCCGCACACACCCAAACCCAGGAGGTAGACCCAATCATTCTGAGGTGGCCGGCCAGCCCCCGCCACAAAGAAGCCACACCCATGACCACCCCACCACCCCCCCAGCCGTCCACTCCCCGGAACCCAGCAGCCACCGCGGCCAGCGGGCCACCCACAGGAACCAAGAGCCACACCTCAGGAGACCAAGCAGCGCCAGGGAGGATGGAGAGCCAGCCCCGCCCCCGGCAACCGTCCAAGCCCCGAACCCACCCACAGCCCAGGACCGCACCCGGCGGTCCGCCCTTCTTCAGGACCCCCTCCCCAAATGGCAGTCGGGGAACGGGATTGGAATAAAGACCCTGACACCCACACCCCCACCCCCAGATGTACTGTTGGTGCGTGTTGTTCTATAGAGCAATTAAAAAAAGGAAAGAAGAAGAGGCAGAGGCTGGCATGGTAGTTTGTTTTTATTGTATGAAGACTGTATTAGGGCTGCACAATTATTGGAAAAAACTGACTGACTTTTTCTAACCCTGTGATACAGTCCCCTCCAAAAGTACTGGAACAGGAAGTCCTTATTTTTGTTGTTCACTGAAGACATTTGGGTTTAAGATCAGAAGATGTGCATGAGACAAGGGTTCTGAATGTCAGCTTTTATTTCCTGATATTTACATGTAGATGTGTTATACAACTCAGGATATATCACCGTTTACACCACAGCATTTTTAGGTGAGCAAAAGTACTGGAACATGTGACTGACAGGTGCTTCTTACTGACCAGGTGTTTCCTTTAAGGTTGATGTTCAGACATTGAATAGTTCTGCATGAATAGTCTACTTTTTGACCTGGTTTAAATCTATAAAGTAGTTTTTTCTTGTTAAAGAGGATAAACCGACATGAAGACCAGAGAGCTGTCTATGGGAGAAAAGCAAGCCATTTTAAAGCTGGAAAACAGAAAAAATCAATCAGAGCCATTGAAAATCATTGGGCATAGTGAACAAAACAGTTGGAAATGTTCTGAATAAGAAAGTAGTGATATCCAACAGGTCTGCCAAGGAAAACAACAGTAGTTGATGACAAAAATATTGTGAGAGCTGTGAAGAAAACCCCCAAAACATTAATAAGTGACATCACCAACAACCTCCACAGTGCAGGGGTGAAGGTATCACAATGCACTGTTGGAAGACTCAGAGAGCAGAAATCTGTATACCAGCGTTGGAGGGACTGCCTTATCCACCCGCAGATTTGTTCATTGGCATACAGTATTCTTGGGTTTACTTCCCCCTTACCTCCTGTCCTATACCAATAAGAAAAACACAGGAAGTCATTTTCTGTGCTTGGATGAGTTCATTTTATTAACAGTGCCTAAGGTTCACACTGATTATGGCAAAACTCCTTCTACTTTGCTGCTCCCTCAGCCTGGAATCTACTGCAGAAGGATTTGAAGTTGAGGGAGCTGGTCTCTTTTAATGTTTTAGGGCCATTCTTAATCAGTTTGTACTTAAAACATTTGTTTGTAAATGTTTTAACCAATTTTGTACTCTATTTTAGTCCTATCTTACCTTTTTATGAGTGTTTTTTGTTTTTCTTTTATTTATCATAAAATATTTGATTGTAGTTTAATATCTGTAGTTTTGAATTTTGCATTGTCTGTGTGCTGCTGCCGTTCTTGGCCAGGTCTCGCTTGAAAAATAGGTTTTTAATTTCATTGAGATCTACCTGGTTAAATAAAGATGAAATAATTAAAAAATAAAATATAGAGGACATACACTTTCTCCACAACTCGAGAAGACTTCTCATAAAAAATGTTGTCATTATTGTCCCAGAAGTTTCACAATAAAAGGAAAATTTGAGCTTTTTTGACATGATGCAATCCATCAAAGTAAAAGCCGTAACGTGACCATTTAGTGCAATGACATGGTTTAGTGGTTTAGTTCCTAGATAATATGTTGATGTAGTTTGCCTCCTACATCACAGGACCTGTAATGTGAATATTGCACACATACAGTACATTGATGTGCAACTCTAGACTGCACTAGACACACTCTAGACACACGTTTTTGTGCCATTCCTGTTATATCAGTATTTTTAGAAGCAAAACCTTTTGTTTAAGAGGAGAACTGCAGTGTGGAAGTCCATTTAAAATGTCACATTCAGTACAGGCAGTGGGCACTTCCAACAGGAAGCTCATAACATTTCTATCAAATTAACCATGTAATGCAAAATCTACATAGTTGCAAATGTTTAAAAAATAGGAGCACGAACCACTGAAATTTTAAAGGTTGTTGGTGTAGATACTCTCATCTGCTACATGTCAATCCTGAGTTTTTAAACAAACCAAGTGAACTTCCTGTTTGCTGAAGATGTTTTGCTACCCATCTTAGGAGCTTAATTATTTAACCCCTTAACAGTCATCCCGGAAATTACTTAAAAGCCTTTTGACACTTTTTATTTTTTATAAGGGTGTCAAACTTAAGATAAGAACTGGAGGAAATCGTCTGACACCATAGTTTTCAAAATAAAAGCGCCCAATAGCATCTGGAAACAATTAAAAGCAGAACCCCCACTATTTTGCCCACCATTGGAACAGAGACTGGTTAAGAGGGAAAATTTAGTTTTAGAAACGAGTCACTCAGACCAAGTGTTTGTCCAAGCTGTGTAAAGGTTTCTGTTGAAGCTGGTTTAAGATGGCAGCAAACCACTTTGGTTCTGGTTGTGTTCAGACTCGCCACTAGTCGGTCTTTCTGGTCGTATTTAAACTTTATTTCACCAAACTGAGACCATCTGAAGAACTTTTTCCAACAACCTTTAAACAGAACCACAGAGAATATATACGTAACCATCAATCAAGTGACAGGTGACACGCCCCCTTTTCGGGGGGGCGGGCGGGGGGAGGGGGGCATCCGTCATGTCCATATATGGTCAACTTCCGGTGACTTCCGTTCTCTTTTGATTGACCGTAAGTAACCCTAACCCTCCTTCACCCTCCTTTCACCCACAATTTTGACTTATAGTAACCCTAGATTGCATCAGATACCTTCAAGAATATTCTGGTGACCGCAACTTCCTGTTTTCGATAGATATCAGCACAAGCCATCTGTCAGGTACATCCTGTCAAAAGG